TGTTCAGCTGATGAACAGCATTTCTGAAGAGTTTGATTTCCTGTCAGTGCAGGAGGAGTGACTTTAGTCAGAAAATAAACACAGAATAAATTTGAAGAGCAAAGACAATTTTCTGTTTCTAGAGAAAAGAAAAATATCTACATGATTATCTGCTCTTATTAGGAACTCGTGTACCTTCAAGGTTCCATTGCTCAGCGTAATGGATATTGTAATTTATTTTTATTTTTTAGATTGCAAATGGACTTAAAGTGAGCATTGTGAAGTGAAGCTGATCGTTTTTTTTTCAGGCAGTTGTCCAGTCTTCCTCAGTTGGTGAGAGTAGATGACTCAAGGGCTTAACAGGATGTGGTGTTAGATACCTGTAGTTGGCTGATTTGAATTTGGCCCAGGTTAGTAATGCTTGAAGTCATTACCATCTGTCTGTTGTTCAGTGACCTGCATAAAATTAGCTGATATTCTTAGTCCAGTTCTTAGTAGACAGGTGTCCACATCATGAAAATTGGCACCAGTATCAAGCTTGTTGGCTGCCTCAGCAGAGATTATCTGCTGATGAACAGGCAAAGAAACAGTAATCTCCTCATTTCTGGAGGTATGGTTTTCCATTTTCAGGGTTCAGACATGCTGATGGATGAACGTATGTAGAGACAAAGGTTGTTGTGTGCTGCTGCTGCCTTTGTTGTATATGTCTTTTGGTAGAGAATGTAGCCCATGTGTTTGAATTCCACATTAATTTTTAAAAAATGCCCTACCTAGTTGTTCTGGCTTCCTAATGGAAATCTTACATATAGCAGGTGTCCTCAGCTGTTCCTTCTGATAGACTGAAACAAGAGAACATGCTTCATATGATGGCTTCTCCTCCCCCCCCCCTTTTTTTTTTCTTCACTTGAAAGATATCAGACCTATTCAGGCAGCAAGAATTTGGAAGGAGAAAGCACCAAATCTTTCACATGTAGTTATATTTAAAAAAAAAATAAAATCTGTAGCAACTACTTTTTTTTTTTTTAGATGTCGCTGTAGGAACTGATGTAATATAATTTCATGTAGTTTATGTATCCTGGGACTGATCTCATAATAGCAGCAATAACTGCACTTAGCAGTTAAATTGTACTTTGTATGTTGAAACCTTTGTACAGACTCGTTTGCTAACGTTCCCAGTTGGCTGTGTGACTCCTGATGGCAAAATCTGCAATATATAGAAAGCCTGTGCAGGATTTGACTGTTTACATACAGTGGAGATCTCTGCAGTGATAGTTGCCTATGGAGACGCGGGGATAATGGAGCCCAAAGTCTTTCACTGGGAGCTGTGCTGCAGTTCAACCCATATGTTGGCAGAAAATGCATGGGAGAGCTGTCTTATGTTCCTCTTCACAGGGTTAGGGCCTGGCATCGCTTCTTCAGCCCACATGGAACATCTCTATCTAACACTGAACTATTCTGGCTTTTTGCAGGGGTTGCTTTTAATCCTGCCTGAGCTTCTTTAAAGTATATTATCTTGCAAGCAGTGATTCAGACTTAACTGTTCCCACTGCAGTGTGTAGGACTCTCCTCCTATTTCATTGACATAAAAATACACACCAGTATGTTATAAATAGTTCTTCAGCATTCCTGAGGATTTATGGTGGATAGATGCTTTCTGAACATCCATTGAGGGATAAGCCCAAATGGTCATATTTAAAGTTAATTGGCCTTCTTACAACTTGCTGCATTTTATTGCCAGTAATAGAGCGTTAAGGATTCTAATAGGATCTTCTGCTTGCAGAGCCTGAGTTGATTAAGTGGTGCAACATGTTCATTTCGGAGGGCTGCTTAAATCACCAGTAAAAGTAGGTTAGGTGACTACAGATCACCTCCTCATTGACAGGAATTCCCACGATTAATAATAGTGTTTTTCTGAAAAAAAGCATGACTCACTGTTTGTTCCCCGCTATTGTTACCAACTGGAGTTATGTTTTCTTCTAGAACAAGACTAAGGGATAGGTTTTGGTGTCGCTATAGATACTCCTGGGTTGGCATTAAGTACTGGGATGTGCTAGAAAATCCAAGATTTGGCCTCGGCAGTTGTGCACTGACAGTGTAGGTGGAAGACGTGGAGCACGACGGGGCTGCAATTGGAGAAAAAGCATTAGGGAGATAATCAGCTTCACTGTCCCTTGCTGCTGTCTTCACTCCTACCAAACATGTTACTGTTTGACCAAAATTTTGGATGCAAAGCAAGGATTTGTGCATCAGTACTAGCTGGAAAACTGTTATGATGCCTCAAATATTTCTCGGTCCTCATTCATCTGCCATTTTCTAGTGGCCTAAAATGTGATTTTAACATTTGTTTTGTCACTGTACTGCCATCATGTCAGGCATGCAACCAAAAGTAAACTTTAATTTCAACCTTATTTTGTGGCTTTGTTATTGCCTGCTTCCTTCTTTCTCATGGGTCCTACTAATAAATAAAGGTTTGAGAGCAGAATAACAGTTACTAAAGAGTGAACTCAAGCGTAGTTTTGGTCCTGTGCTGTTGCCACAGGATTTCTAATAGCATTAAGTCATAGGCTTGCTGATTTGGAGATTAGCTTCTTGGTCTTAGCTCTCTCCTTCTTTCTGAGAAACTCCAAAAAATAAACTTGCAAAAAGCCTCTGAATGCTTAGTGCCCATGAAGCTGTAATCGTTTAATAAAACAAAAGAAATCAATGCCAGAGGAGAAGCAACTCATGCCTGTGGGAAAAATCTGTCCCTTTGCTCAGTTTGATATGATTATAAAATTACAGTGTTCTGTGAGCTAAAGAAAAGCAGATATCGCCAGAGGAAAGCAGTTAAAGGTTTGGGGTTTTTTTTGAGGAATATTCCTGTTTAGTTTCTTAGAATTAACAAATAAAGCAGTTCCTGAAAGAGATTCAGGAACTGAGTGCGATATTCAGTATTCTCTTATTATTGAGTAACAATGACTAATTCCTCCATTTTCTTATTAGAGTTACGTAGGAAAATGACTTTTTCATTCTATAGAACTTTGATTTCAGAAACATTTCAAGTTCAGGTGAAATAAATATTTAATTTAACTGGGGTTGGTTTAAATATATATACTTATGTGATTATGGGAGGTCACATACGATTGGATCTCTTCTATTTCTACGTATAAGTAAGATTGGGCTTTTCTCCCCTATTTTCTAGTGCCCCAGATGAATGTCTTCACTTTCAGTATCTTGACAGCTCTATTATGAGTTCTTCCAATCTCTTGCAGCTTTTCTGCTCTCCAGAAATAATTATATTCAGGAAATGTCATTGGACTACTTTGTCAGTAAAATGAGTAGTCTAACGACTCATGGATTTCCCTGACCTAATGAACACTTTGTTATTTGTAGAAAGGGGAGCAGCTTCCGTTTGACATATTAGGAGAGCAACCCATTGCAAAACAAACAGTATGGTATGAAAGTGTGTTATCTGGAGCTTGGGAGTTTCTTAAAACCTCTTCAAGACAGACATGCCAAACTATCCAACTTTCCAGGGACTGCTGAACTACCAACTGTTGTAGGGTGAATTTTCTTTAGATTTTATCTTGAAAAAATATCCTTCTGTGAAACTGTTAACTGCCAGCAAAGTTGGTTTTTTTGACATTTAGCTGAAAAATTCTTAGCTGTTCTTCTCTACATAACTTGCAAACTGTTTAGTGAAATAATTTTACATGGTTTTATTTTACTTTTTGTTCACAGTTTGACACTTGTTATAGGTGCAAGAAGTATAGGTTCCCTGTTTTCTAGTTGCTTACTTATTTTTCTCCTTTTAACATTTGATTCAAAGTGACATCTGTGAACAGTCTTTTTTTTTTTAATATTTTTTTTTCTTTCCAAGAGGGACATATTCTTCTGCTGCTAACAGTCTTAAGTCTTTCCTCCTTTCATTTTTAGATTGCAAATACTATGATAAAGCCTGAATTAACAGACTCGAGCCACTTACCACCTTTAGAAATTTGAGTTGTAGGGGTTTAGAAACTGTGGTTGTGGATTTTAGTTCATACTACTTCTTTTTTTTAAACATATACTGTTTGGTAAGACCATTAGTAGATTTTTTTTAAAATTTTTTTTTTTTTTTTAGTTTATGATGTGAGTTAATTGCCTGAACTAAACTGTTGGCTAATGCTTTGATCACAGAATCATCATAATAGTTGGTAATGATTAGCAGCTTTCTAGCCTTTTACATTGGGTACAGACCTAAATCCCAGTGAAATTAGTTATTGCATGTGTTCTTTAGTTTAAGGGGAACTGTGGAGTGTACTGCAAAGTGACTGCCCATTTGAAATTTCAAGTGTTTTGTCCTGTAGTAAAGAAAATGATATGTTAAAATGAAACTGCTTTCTCTGATAGTTACTATGCCGTACCCAGCTGCGAGAGTTCAAGATCTCTGCTTGGTGCGCTGTTTTTAACAGTGCCCAAAGTATCACTAGTTCCTTCAAGACAGGCTTTGTAGTAGCATGTGGACCTAGGTTCAGACCTTCAAAAATGCTTAGATATCCAACTTTTATTTTGACTGTTAGTATTAAAGCACTTAAGTACATCTCAGGGTATGGATGCAGTTCTTGATCCTGTAGTACAAAATTGCCCAGTGCATGGCATGCTAATATGTGTAGTCCAGTTATTACCAGCAGGACCGAATGTTAGTAATAAATGCCTTGGGGAATGTGGATTTCCTGAATTCAGTGCTTGTTGTTAATTAGCGTGGTGTTTTCAGTGAGCCTTTTAAGTTTTTGGCATTTGTTTTCTTACCCGTTGAGTCAACATTGGTTTTCTGAATGGGGATTTGCATGGAAATGCTGCTTTTGATTTACTAATGTGGTAAAGGTAATTGAGCAGTGCTTGTTATTAGAGACTTATCTGAAATGACCTGTGTTTGCATTTTGCTCTTGCTCATCCACAGAACCCTCAAAGCGGTAACTGTTCACACGCCAGGATCTTTTATGGGAATTGTTGACCTGCAAAATTCAAATTTTCTTGCTCACTTCCTTTTCATACATTAGGTCCTGTTACTGAAGTCAAAACAGATATATATGTCACCAGTTTTGGACCTGTTTCTGATGTAGAAATGGTATGTATTTCTGGGATTAAAATGCCATTTCCTGGTTCTGAGAAACCATTAACTGAAGTAAGGAGTGGATGCTTCATCTGTACTGTTCTGTCAATCATGCAAAGTAGGAAAGATTAGTAACAGCTTAATTTACAGGTTATAATTAGATACATCAGGCCTGATTCTGGTCGCACTTTCACTGGGTTTTGGCTGGCTTAAGGAATTCACTTCGTAGGATTTAAGACAGACTTTCACGTTATAGAGGCAGAATCTGGCCTTGTGGGGGGTGCCTAAGTCAGCTTACTGTGAGGAGGACATGTAATATCTTTGAAATTGCTTTTCCTTTCTGAAACCTGTGTTATTCTCAGGTGAATAATAATGACATCATTTCACAAATACTTGTTGACATTTTCATTTCAGATGAATGCCCTTTGCTGATCTTTGTGCCCCTTTTAGCATCACATTTCACTGAATGTTTGACTGATGAGTTTTCATAAATGTCTGCAGAAACTGAACGTCAAAGTGACATGCATGAAATAGTCACAGAAGAGATACGTTACAGTTGCACGTACTGTTATTTGTGCCTGAATGGCATCTGCATTCATTTGAGGTCAAATCCGGCAAAACTCTCATCAACTTCTATAATCCAGTGGTATACACGTAAATCAACAACAGTTTCTCTTTTTATAAAATATCTAAGAAATGCTATGGAAGTAACACAGCCGTATGTGCTGCACTGAACTTCTTTAAGAGAAAGGCCGTTTCAGGGCAGTGACTTTCTTCCCATACAGTGTCATTGTGCACTTTGTGGTGCACCTGATTTAGTTCTTTCATGTGATAGCAAGATACTTTTTCAAGGGCTACATCTGTGACAGCAGTCTCATGTTGAAATGCATCTTACCCCTTCAATGCTTGTCATGTACAGTATGATGCTGTTCAGTGCGACAAGGGGTACAAGAATCTGGTCCCAAGGAAATCTAGTAATGTGTGCCTCAAATCTAAAAAGAGGGCTGCATGGCATCTCTCGGGTTTCACTGAAGCATTCGACATGGTGCCACATGGGAAATTATTAGTTATACTGCAGAAGGCAGGAGTGAGAACATGGACTGAAGGTAGGTAAGGAACTGGCAAAAGGAGAGTTTACATTAGGTGTTTCCCCTTTCATCATTAGGGATTAGTTAGGAGGCTATTCAGGGATCCAGGAATTGTTTTTGGAATAATTTTTAGTTAATGTATCCATTAGTGACTCAATGTAATCTGAATGTGGCTGCACTCATAAAACTCGCTGAAACAGCAAAGTGTGATACAGTCTCAGTACAGGGGATGATCGGAATGTCTTTTTAGAGCTGGGTTACTTTGGTACCCAGTGTAATGAAAATGGTTGAAATTTTGTATTACAAAATCTGTCATGTAGAAGCTAGTAACAGAAACTGCTACTTATGAGCTATGAAGTTACCAGCAGGAAATGACACTAGAAAAGCGACTTTTCATAAATTAACTATAAACCACAGTGGAGGATGCAGCCATGGAGAAGATGACAGATATAATTCTAAGATGCATTACACTAGTAGACATGCCTCCTTGCCAATGTGAATAGATATGGCCATACAAGTAGTTTCAATGGTAACATTATGCAGAAGAGTTTGAAATACAATGAGAAAACATTGTTTGGCTTAACAACAAAATCACAGCCATCAGAGTGGTTCCAAAGAATGTTTATCAATGTGGTGATAGGTGCTCATTTATATATATGTGAATTATATAAAAGCACTTAAAGCTTTCTATGACCATTTTCAATTCCATGTGATGCTTTTTTTGTGAAATGCTTTAGCTTCCTGAGATCAGAAATGCATTCCTTCATCCATTCATTCACATATGATTTCTCATGATGTGCCTGTGTCTGCAGTTCTGCAGTTGTTGTTTGCATGTTTTCTTTGAAGCATCTGAATGGCTTTTCTGAGGAAGTTAATGGGATGGTTACGTAGTTTAAGAACAAATATGTATATATGCAAGTCTATATGTAATTCATTATCCATGTTTTGTGGGCATGGCAAAGAAAATATTTAGCTTTCCTCAGTTAAAAGCTTATTTTCCATGAGTTGAAATTAAATTTTCTTTCCTAAATTTGTAGTGGAAGTAATCGTTTGTCCTGGTATTTTTAATTTAGCCAGCAGCAGAAAATCCATGGATATCTTTTCTGTAAAAATCTCTTGACACTTACTGTCAGAGATCATTTTGTTTCCAGTTATATGCTTGACTACAAATTCAGTTGCCTGCTTCCTGCAACCTAATTAGATTAATTATTCCATAATGATTAAATATGTGTAGCAATTTATTGATATGACTAATGTGGGAAATTAAGCTATTAAGAAGTACACAATACTTTAATTGGTGGAAATACATTTGTGTAGTGGACTTAGCGTTTTCTTTACTACTGATTTCTTTGTTCCTGAGGGATTTCTTATTTTACAGGAAACACACATGCAAATGTGATTTTTGTTTTTCTGCAATTTAATACAGGAATATACAATGGATGTCTTCTTCCGTCAGACATGGGTAGACAAAAGATTAAAATATGATGGCCCTATTGAAATTTTAAGACTTAACAACTTGATGGTTTCGAAGGTGTGGACTCCTGACACTTTCTTCAGGAATGGGAAAAAGTCTGTTGCACATAATATGACAGCCCCAAATAAGCTCTTCAGAATAATGAGAAATGGCACCATCCTGTACACAATGAGGTATCTAACGTGTTTGTTTGGCTTCTTACAATTACTGTATGCAAAAGTTATACTGCCTAGACAAAATGGCAACCAGAGACTATTTAATTTGTTCCATTATAGGCTTACAATAAGTGCAGAGTGTCCCATGAGATTAGTGGATTTTCCCATGGATGGTCATGCTTGTCCTCTCAAATTTGGGAGTTGTAAGTTGCAATTATGAAATTTCTTGTAACTACAGAATTTAAATAGTAGAAGTAGATTTTTAGCAGTTACTAAACTTTCTGAATATTAGTCTTGATACACAATCCTTATGCAGACAAAACTCCTGTTAAGTTCCTTGGGAATTTTATTTAGGGCCTCAAAAATTAAACCCAGGTAGAGATTTGAAAAGCAGGCAGTGATTCAGCTATTATATTAAACCCCACTATTCTGGCTACACAGTTGCTTGAAATACGTAGTTTTTCTTGGTTCTTAGGGAGGAATTGGATACTCAGTGAAGTGAGAGATTCTCTGTAGAAGACAAAGAGGTTGGGATCCATCTCAGCTTACAACAGCCAGGTAAAAGGCACTTAGGGAAGCAGGTTATTTGACTTTCTGTATACTTGGTGGAGGCACATTGACATCCTAAGATGTGTAGGTTATGTGCAGAGATTTGACCTTTAGTTGTATTTGTCTGTCTCCTGGCCTATAATGGGAGTCTGCATGGCAAGTTTAGACTAGATAAATAATTTTTAGACTGGTGAGAGGAATCTTAGTTCAGATGACTTCCCTTTTCTGCTTTGAAGTCAGACATAGATTTTTGGATAATCTCCAAACTTTGGCTAGAAAGAACATTTTGGGACATACTGCGTAACAACTGAGGGAGGTAGTTAGGATTCCCTGATTTGAATCCACAGCAGAGACCTCCGAGACCACCTGGGGATGGTTGGTGCACTCCATTAACTATCCTGTCACTCTTCTAAGCCTCCTTGGTCACTGACTTCTCTGCTTTATACTCCACTGTAGTCAGTGGTTGGACATTAATCTGTTTTCCTTGACCCCAGAGCTCTGAAGTTAGAAATGACACTCTGGACACTCCTCAGTCTTTCCTTAGCATAAATTTAGCTTATTCAGTTGGGTAGTCAACCAAAAGGGGGATATTAAAGACGCTGCTCTGATAAGGTTTTTCATCCCTGTTATGGTGAGACTGGAGAACAGATGCTGCCAAATTTGGCTTTGGTATCAGCGATACAATAGGGGAGCTTCAATAGTGGGGGCTTCTCCACTGGCATAATTCTTCAGGAGGAATCACCAGCCAGCAGAAATTGTGCTTGACTCTGATCTGATCTTTTCCTCAGTGAAACTTGAAATAAGATGTAGCCATTTCCAATGCAAGACTGATTTAATTTAATTTTAACAGGAGTTTGGGCTGTGTAGGGATTGAATGCTAGCCCTAAGTTATATCTTTTGTATTAAATGTGAAACATTTCTTTGGGTGTGCTTATTTTTGGGCTATTGTGAGTTTTTTACTGACTTCTGGTTTCTGGCAAATATTTTAAACACAAGTTTAAAATATTATAGTTTTTAGTATAATAATTCTTTTCTGTAAAGAAATGTGCACCCAGTCTCCAAAATGTGTCCTCCTTATACATGCTCTTTTTTTATATAGTAGTATACTTTAATGATAAAATTTTAGATAGAAATTTCTAAAATAATTTAAAGATAAACTTTACATGCCCAATAAGGGCTGATCCAGAAAGAACTCGTGTTTAGACTTCACATTCAAATGTGAATTCGTGTGTGACACTTGACATATGACCTTAGCTGCTATTTATTCTCCTGTGAGGGTGGTTTTGGGGGGTAACTTAACATGAAAGGTATCTTCTAAAGTTGTTAGTGTGAGTCTTGCCATTTGGTTTCAGTAAGTTTGCATTGGGCTCGTAAGTAAGGTGTGAGAAGAAGTTTCCTATTTATGCAAACTGATGCTGTGTTGTAGATGCTTATCCAAAGAGTGAAATGATTTATACCTGGACAAAAGGACCCGAGAAGTCAGTGGAAGTTCCTGAGGAGTCTTCCAGTTTAGTTCAGTATGACCTGCTTGGGCATACGGTATCCACTGAAACCATTAAATCTATTACAGGTAGGAATCTCGTCAATAAAAATCAACTTGAGGTAAAACTAACCCTGTAACATTGCCTGAGGCTTTTTTCTTTCCTTCCTGTAAGGTGTTCTACTGAATGTCCTAGGGCATATATGAAGCACTGAAAGCATAAATCTGAATTAGGTTTCTGTCCTTCAGATTTACATTTGCAGATTCATTACAGTAGATTGCGACGGTCTTTCAGAAAGCTAGAATGAGATCATTACTCTGAGGGACAAAATGAGCATTTAATCACTGCTTAAAATGCAGTTTGAAGAGTCAAGAGGATGCCTGGGTGAGGAAGTAATTTCTCAGCACTGTATCCACATTATGTGCAAAAGACTTCCTTTGTTTGGTGATGCAAACAGCTCGGGATAGAAGTACAGCATACAGAATGGGTTATTAAAGCCATAAAAACCCTCTAGTCAGATAAGGATAGGCACAAATGCATTAGTCACAATAGATACTTCTGCTGATTTGTGTTGTAAGAAATAAGGCAAATGGCAACTACAGGCATCCGAAATGAGTGAAGTATCACTGATGAGCAGTATGGATACAAGCATACTCCCAAAATATTTTTAAAATTTGGAATAATTTTCTAAGCATCAGCAAGTTTGGGTGTTGCGAGATGGTCAAAATGAAACAGATAAAGTAAATGTATTTGATGTATTGCTCTACGGATGTTTTTCTCAAAGATAAAATTGTTTTGCAATACACTAGAAATTCACTTCTCAGCATATTATTATGAGTTAACAACAGAATTTCCTTACTGTCCCCAAAATGCTCATTCTGTAGTGCTTTATTTAGACAGTTTATTCCATTAATGGTAAAACTGCCATTTTTTTGTTTGTTTGTTTGATATGAATGATAACATTTTAGAAAAACTTAACAGTATTTTTAATTCTTGTCAATGATTTTTGCATTTGTTTCATTATCATAGTGGTGCTGACGTATAAACCTAGTAAAAAGCTGAGATGCTTCCATAACATTTAGTGTGCATCATTGTTATTATTGTTTTATTTGGCAGGTAGGTACCACAATGTTATGGATACTATAGGTAGCTAAATAGCTTGTGTCTTGGGACTCTTTTCTTCAACAGCTGCCAAAAGAATTTTAAAAATCATGCTTATACTTTAAAATGTAATCCAGTATTAGTTGTACATTTATAGTATTTTTGATTCCAGCTTCTGAATGGCACTGTAAGGACCTATTACTTCCAGGGTTTTTTGTTTAAAACTTTCATTCATTCTTGTGTCTAAGGAACATATAATTCTGTACATGTTAAGTGGAATGAATAACATCATCTTAAACAATCCTAGCTGATAGTCTGAAACAGTTATTCTGCAACACAAATTTTATGCACAGTCAGAAATTTTTTTTTTTTTTTTTAGGCGAATATATTGTTATGACAGTTTACTTCCACCTCAGACGGAAAATGGGTTATTTTATGATTCAGACCTATATCCCCTGCATTATGACTGTGATCCTTTCTCAAGTTTCATTTTGGATAAATAAGGAATCTGTTCCAGCTAGAACTGTATTTGGTAATTATTTCTTTTTTTGCTTTTTCTCATACTTCCTCTTTTAATGACTTTCACTAGAATAGGCCTTTTTAGTGCATTGGGGTATACTGCCTCCATACTAGTGTAGAAACAAGGGAATGATGTAAATTCAGAGGAATTTTTGCTGTCGATGTATGAAGAATATTGTTATGTGAATCCTTGGAATCTGAAGAGAGACTTGGAATATATAACCTGAAGGGTGGCATGGTTGCCTGTGGCAAATGGGTGTGCATCTCTGGGGATTCTACCTGCTTGGGGGAGCAAACTGGGAAGACCTGGCCCTAAGTAATACAGTCAAGTCTTTAGTCTACATCCAGAGCAGTTTTATCCTCCAGTGGACAGTAGTGTAATTACTTGAACTCACACTTTTTTACAATAATTTGATTGGGAGTGTGTGAGATGTACAGATGTCTTCTTATGAGATATCTGTGTCATCAGTGGAAGCTTGCTGTGAGCTGTTACTGTAATTTCATGTTTAGTGCTTTTCTCTCCTTTCTGCCATTGTCATTATGAAAATGAATTAAAAACCCAAAGTGATCGCAAGATATTAAAATTGCCCTCACCAAAATACAGCTTGAATGAAATGCTTCAGTGAACTCTGAAAATAAAAAACAAAAAAGCTTCTATGGACGACAAAGCATAAGGAAATTAAATGGAAATATGATTCCTAACAAAGAAGTAGGATAAAAACATTTTTAAAAGCAGTCTTTACAGAGCAATGTCTTGACTTTATAATGTACTGTAGTCTAAAGCAGGACTAATTAGGAAGAGAATGTTCTACAAAAAGCCTTTCTATAGATAGATAGCTGCTGGCAAGAGTGATAGGAATTAATGTTTCTACGTGACAGCCCATTTGAACATGTGAGTGGAGCCAGAACGCTGTTTAATATCACAAATTAGACAAGGTTAATGATTAGTTATAGGAGAAACAAGCTGTAAACCTAAGAACCCCACTAGCTCTCAACTCAAGTGTTATATTAGGCAAACTAGTATATCACTTCAGATGTCTTTGCAGTGATGTTGAATAATGGTACTTTTTGTGAAGGGAGTATTGCCATGAACTGGAAAGGTAGAATCTGTATTTACAGACAAAATATGATAGTTGAAAATGTACAGAATATAGAGCAATAGATGTAATATGTGTCATTATATCCATATGTGAAACTGAAAACAAATAATAAAGTTTGGACATCCACTAAGTTACAGATAAGTCTCTTGAATGCCTTTGAAAGCAAATGGCTTAAAGTATGGCTAAAAGTATCTTTTTAGTTTTCTTGCAAATTCCAACAGGAATCCTGTTTTCTAAAGTTTTTCTTAAAAGAAGATAGAAATGTTGCAGGCAAGAGATAGGAATAAAGCCAGAATACCCACTATGGTACCAGCTTTCTAGAGGAACTGTCAGAAGAGGCTAACCAAAAGATCTTTCCATTGGACACTGCATGATTAGGGAGAACTTGGCAAAGGATGCCAAGGAACAAACAGAGGAAGGATGCACAATGAACAAAGGTACATGAGGTTGTGATTTCTGCAGTCAGACCTTCAGACACCTGAACCTGGTGATTGTGGGAGATTGGTGTTTCTTAGAGGAAAGAAGCAGTAATATTAAAACAGGTTTTAAACACTAATTTTTATATTAAAATACTCAATATATTTTTATATGGTTATGTGCATTTCTAATCAGAAGCTTGCAAGTATTTAGCTCTTGATAATTACAGTACCTGTGTGTATATATTTTTTACCAGAACTTAATTCCCTACCCTGTAAATCCCTGTGGCAGGTATCCAAAGGCAGTTGCAGTGGCAACTGCAAGTCTCCCAGAAGAATGATTTAATAGGGGGAAATCTGTTAAAGACTATGGCAGTAGACTATAATACTGTCACAGCCTCCTCCTTGTGTTTTGGGAATGGTTGGTCATTCAATTCACTTCATCCTATTCTTACATCTATTAAACAAATGTCTTTAGAAGGACAATTCAGACAAACTATTTGCTTGAAGTGAGCAGAGCTAGAATCAGGAAGGATAGGGCTAAGCAGGGATGGGTTTCTTCCAGGAAAAAAATAACTTTCCATAATTTTTTTTTTCTCAGACTTAAACATTTTCAGTGGTGTGTTTTTTCAACACCTTCCCACTGAAGAAGGTTTTGTGAGCTTGCATCTGTGTTTTTATCCTGCTGAGTTTGCTCTGAGATATTGTTTGTGCTTGCATGAACTTGCTATTACTCTTTTTTCCTTTTTTTTCTCCTTCAATAGGAAGGACTGGTTTCATTGTGTCCAGTTCTCTGTATGGCAGTGTCTAGGTGAAGCTTTTTCATATCAGATTGCCCAGATGGAGTACCACCATTTAGGCAATAGGGCACGTGAGGATCCTGTTGAAAAACATGCTCTTTATTATTTTGAATTCTTCTGACCATGAGCATTTCATCTTGAATTGAAATGGGTACAGTGTTCTCTTCATAAGAATAAAGACATGTCCATTTGTAGTCAGTCTTCCTTGAGGTTTTCATGGTAGGACTTATGCGGTGTTCACTATATACTTGGTATTTTATATTTGTATGATATGGGATATTTTGGATGAAAAAGGAAAAAAAGACCCCATACCTTGGTTTTATACAGCATGTACTTGCATTTGAAGTATTACCATGAAGTGGTCATATTTGAGTTCAGTGTTCATGCTTGTACACTTTAATTAAAAAGTTGTTCTTTCAGAAGATGAAATTCTAATTAAATTTCATCGATTGACTAGTAGCAGAAGGGTTTAAAAGGTAAGGTGATGGTTTCTTAATTAACAGAGTTGTTAACATAATATTCTAGTTTTCCTTAGCACCAAAATAATTTGCCATGACTTAACAGCACCTGCATCATGAGTGGGATCAGAAGAATGGATGCAGACTAATAGGCGGTATTCTGAACCCATTACAGGAAAAATCATGTTTTTGTTGCAGTCTGAGGAGCACTCCCCTATTTAACAACTTAAATTATGTTCAAATGTTTAGAAAGCAACTTGTTGTAGGAAATTCTACTGAACTTTACATGAAAAAAATATGAAATTAAGGCTTCAGTGTTTTCTTCATGTGAACTCTAGATCATCTGCTGAAGTCATGGCTTTCCATGCCTCCTTTAAAAACTGGTTAACTGTTTTGTGTGCATAGCTGCTTATAGATACATGATGGTTGCAATGACTTAAATCTAACGCACTATTCACAAGTAGCAGAGAAAGACTCTTAAGTGATTTAAAATTCTTTGTTTGAAGCTGCTTGCCTCTATTCTCACTTTGTTTTACTCTGATTCAGCAGTGCTTTTGCTTTATTTCTTTGAAGGAATAACAACAGTGTTGACAATGACGACACTGAGCATCAGTGCAAGACATTCACTGCCAAAAGTATCCTATGCTACTGCCATGGACTGGTTCATAGCGGTCTGCTTTGCCTTTGTGTTCTCTGCTCTTATTGAGTTTGCTGCTGTCAACTATTTTACTAATATTCAAATGGAAAAAGCCAAAAGGAAGACAGTAAAATCACTTCTTGAATTTCCAGTTGCTCCAGTACAAAGAGAAAGAAGTACAGAAGAGACAGTCATGGTACGTTTTCAGCTTATACAAACATTTTCTGTCTTTTTGGTGGTGTTTCTTGGTAAAAACGGGCCTTTAACTTCCTCCCAGGTTCCCTCTGAGCTAATGATGCAGTATAAGTCAGCCTAATGGAAGGCTAATGCTACACTATATTCAGTGATAAAACCCTGTAAAATATGATTTAATTCTTGCATTATTGGATTAACTCGGGGGAGAGGAGGAGGTTGCGTCCATCCATACCTGCAGTCTCTTCTATATTTAGCTGTGTGTTGTTGGAAGTCAGATAGGATGGGTACCTTTAGGAAACTTTTTTTCCCTTTGCGCATTGATTCTGGCTGGACTGATTATACAGACCAACATATTACAGATTATAAGGGCAGCATGTTATCTTATGTGGCTAACGTCTTTAATGTGGCTACTATCTTCTTGGGGGGTAATCCCAAGCACAAATACAGCCTGGGCAATGAGTGGATTGAGAGCATCCCTGCGGAGAAGGACTTGGGGGTGTTAGTGGATGAAAAACTGTGTAGGACCCAGCAATGTGCACTCACAGCCCAGAAAGCCAATTGCATTCTGCGCTGCATCAAAAGAAGTGTGACCAGCAGGTCGAGGGAGGCGATTCTCCCCCTCTACTCTGCTCTGGTGAGACCCCACCTGGAGCACTGTGTCCAGCTCTGGAGCCCCCAACATAAGAAGGACATGGACCTGTTGGAGTGGGTCCAGAGCAGGGCCACGAAGATGATCAGAGGGCTGGAGCACCTTCTCCTATGAGGAGAGGCTGAGAGAGTTGGGGTTGTTCAGTCTGGAGAAGAGAACGCTCTGGGGAAACCTTATTGCAGCCTTTCAGTACCCAAAGGGGGCCTACAGTAGAGATGGGGAGGGACTTTTTACAAGGGCATGTGATGATAGGATGAGGAGTAATAGTTTTAAACTGTAAGAGGGTAGATTTAGATTAGATATTAGGAAAAAATTCTTTACTGTGAGGGTGGTGAAGCTCTGGCACAGGTTGCCCAGAGAGGTTGTGGATGCCCCATCCCTGGAAGTGTTCAAGGCCAGGTTGGATGGGGCTTTGAGCAACCTGGTCTAGTGGAAGGTGTCCCTGCCCATGGCAGGGGGGTTGGAACTAGATGAGCTTTAAGGTCCTCTCCAACCCAAACCATTCTATGAATAAAAATAAGCTAAAGCATTGCAGTTGCACCTTGGAGAACTTCCCTAGACATCACAGTTCTCCTTTCATTGCATGTATTGCCTATTCAGAGTTTTCTTTCTTATTCAGTTACAATTTTGTTTTTTTTTAATGAATGTTGGATGGATCCTTTGTGTCCACCATAGATTTAATTTTTGTGCAATTTGCGTATCTTTGCACAGGAGCTCACCTCAACTCCTGAAAAGGTTTTGGGGTTCTGTTTAACAAAATGCTTTCCAGCTTTTATAGTGCTTTGGATTAAGTGTGACTTGTGTGGTAGCTATCTTAGCATGCAGACCAGTTAATAAATGCTTGATCTCATTTCTAGTTGAGCTCACCGGTAATTCTCCTTTCTTCCCTTTTTCCATTCCTATATGCTTACTCTCTGCTGCATCACTCCTTCTATTCATGAGACACCTAGCCAACAAAGTCATTACAGCACTTGCACCAGCCAAGCGGTAGGCTAGTAATTCCCAGCCATGGCTGACTCTTGGCAGCACCACTCAAGAAGTAAGATGCTGACAGTAGCATTGTAATTTACTCTTCCTGTCAGGCTGACTTTGTAATTTCCTTTGGCTGAGCCATGATTCAAGAACTGCTGTTTTAGACTAACTCTTGGTAATTTTGTCTTCTGTCTCTTTTCACATCTCATTTGTCTCCTTCCCTATTCATCTGCTTGTTTTTGCCTTCCCACCCCTTCCATTTGCTATTGCTGCTCAGCTGCTGTCCACCCACTTCCATTTTTCTTCCTCTTCTTTGCTCTCCTACTGTAGATCATTACGGTTTTCAATCTTCTGGCTGTGTTGTTCTGTTAGCTTCCATTTCTGCTTAAAAGGATAGATGTGCTCCTGAAGAGTTTGTTACTTGTCACTCCGTTGGCTGCTAGTAAGAGGCGGGAACAAGAAAAAGTATGTTTATAGTAGTGTGTAGTTCGCCTTGTACATAGAAGTATTAGTGCTGTTAGTTTATGCTAAGCTTCTTGATTGTACAGCATGCAGTTTAGTATAATATCTCGGGTACTCCTGAGGAGTGTTAGTAAATACTGCTTTTGGTGATAGGTTTTACTTGGATCCATAGGAAAATAAATTACATAAGAACAGTTTCATCCTAGGTTTTTCTGTAAGGTTTGATTAAAACAAGAGGAAAAATAGTAGTTTTCTCAGGTAGCAATGATGGAGTCTTAACAAAACTGTTTTGATTCATGGTCAGAATTGGTGTAAGTCAGTCTTGTATCATGCTTAGCCATTTACACACATGTTTTGGAGAAACTTCTCTTCGTCTCTTTCTCTCTGTGGGTTTTTTTGTTTGTTTTTTTTTTTTTAACAACAGCACACATGCAGCTTCACCCAACTTGAAAGCTAGGTAAAATGACATGTGAACAGTTCTGTTCCACTGCTTGCTTAATACCTCTGTGATAAATGGGATAGTGTGCTTACAGGTTTGGGGATTTTGAAAGCACTCAAGGGAGCAATCTACTTTTTTGAAGTGTTACACATTAGTGCTGTGAGTATGTAAAGTGAGTGATAATGTTGTTTGTACCTTGAACTGTTATTTTTTTTTATGGCTTTTTCTCCAGTTATGGCTATGCTGAGACTTGAGTCTTTGCTCTTCCAGGACAGGTGTGCAGGGTGAGCCCACAGGTACTGTTATAAAGGCTTAGCTATCATGCAGTCCTTTCTATGACTAGATGACTTCTGTTCTGATCTCCTGCTGTGCAGAACAGAAGCTAATAAGGCTGTTCTGATCCTTTAGAAGCTAATATGGCTGTTAGACTCTGCTTTCCAAGCTGACATGTAATATAGTCCTCTCCTTAAAATTTTTAGTTTTGCTTATAAAAGACTAATCTAGAATTTTCTTATGCCTTATTATGAATCTGATTTTTTTTTTCCTGCATATATACTGTCTAATCAGTGCTGATTTACCAGAGAGAACAGAATCTCAGCTTCCTTGTGAGTTTGTGGTGCACAAAGAATGCAGGACAGTAGCCTGACTGTAGCATGTAATCTGTAAGCATTGTTTCTTAACATAAAGACTACACACTTTATCTCCATAGCTAAATGATAGGCTTTGATTTCTTAACCAAGTTAGTGTTTGAAAAATGTCTGTACTACACTGCCACTATTGTGCTAGAAATTGTTAGCCATACAATTGCCAGAGCTCAAGGAAAAGTTTTACTTTAAAGTCAAAACTTTTTTCAAACTGACTTTGCCTAATCTGGTAAATTTGCCAGTTTCCCAAAATTAAAAATTTTCACTTAGGCCAGGGAGGAAGTGTGTGTAAATTGGGAAAGAAGATGCCCAAATACCTAAACTCTGCAGTTCTTTCTGGTGCATATTTCACCATTTGCAACCTGCTTTGGATGTTCTACTAATTGGAGGGGGAGATCCTTCTCTTATGCCTGTTAGCCCTGTACTTTTGCCTGCCTTGAAATGGCATACAGGTGGCTGCTCTGACTTTTCATAGTTGAGGTCCCATCTATATAGGTCCCCTGAAAAGAAGAAAAATACAGAGCAATCGAGGCTGTTAAGGAAAACAAGCAAAGGGATATTATACCTTTAAATGAGGGTTTCATTTTATGGGCTGTTGATTCTGCGGTGTTCACTGGATGGTTACATGCATTTGATTATTTTTTTTTAATTTAATTTTTTTTCCTCCAGTAATGTGGTGGGATTGTCCTAGAGGGTTCTAGGAGGGAGCAAGCTGGGCTATGAAACCAGATTCCCTATAGAATATTGGGATTTTACTATCTGATAGTAGTGGAAATTAGGGATATTAATAGTAAAATTTGGTAAAATAAAGATAAATGGCACGTAATTGTAAGTCCTTTTTGACATGTATGTGTTTGACCAATTTCTGACCATAGAATTAAAGTGAGTTTTCTATATTGAATCAGTTCATATATTACTCACACTAATTAGAATTCTTGGTGGTGGGTTGTTCTTTTCTTTTCAGTCAAAAACATTTTTCCAGTTGTCTTGGATCAAAGGCAACTCCTATCATTATGATAAAATTATTTGGGATGTGTTCATTCATATTCCATATTTCTTCAGCGCAACCAATACATCTTTACTGTGGCAAATGTGGACTATATGCTTTTCTAAGTTATTCTCTTGTGTAATTATATTTACATTTTTGGAGCTACACGATGGGTGTGACTGATCAATGTATTGATTACAGTAAGCATTAAATAAGTTCAGAGGCTAGCTAAGTAATCTGAACTGTGTTAATTCCAACAAAAAAGTCCTGGTGTCAAGCTAATTTACTGGGCTGGGGGTGGCAGGAGTAAGCCTGTAGTGCCTGCAGAGGCAGCGTGTGCTCCTCTTTTGCTTGATTTGGTTTTAGCCATGGTATTATTCAACCTCTTTTTACCCTCCTCCCCCTCCCTGCCCCATTTCCACTTTTTCTTCTTGTTGTCTATAACTTTCTGATACAAACTTAATGTGTTTCCATAAAGAGGATTGCAGTTCTGCAGTAGACACCCCATGAGTAGGACCCAAGCTTGTCTGAGATCTGCCTTGAGTTCACAAGGAACTTGGACAGCCTTGCTCATCCCTTCTGTCAGGGACAGTGAGATAGTACTGGAATCTGTCTAAGCCAGGACAGATGACTTACACCATGGTCTCCTGTGATTTCCTTGTCTTGGGCACAAGTTAAAATGCTTTCAGGTTAGAAGGAATGAACCTGTCGCTAAACGTTCTGCACTCCGTTATTTAGTAAAAGCAGAAATGTTGCAAGTCAGTGTGTGATGGAAATGAATGATTTATAGCTTGTTATTGGACTCAGTCTATTTTTATACTTCTGCACTATTTCCTTTTCACTGTAT